AACCATGTTCGATTGGGAGTAAGGGCCAAATGCTGCATCTCGGCCTTTTCGGACCTAAACCAGTCGACTCAGCGGCCAAAAGACTACAACATATGGATCAATAGCGGTCATCCGTGCTTTGATAAGAACGAAACGGCGTTTTTAGTGACTTTTGCATACGAATCCCTATCTAGTAGGGCGCAGTCACCCGGTTTCGGTGGAAGTGCGTGAGTTCGATGGGAATAAAGGAGGAAGGGAGCGTCTCGGCTTCCTCGGACCATTCAACTCGGCACCCCGAAAACTACAACAAATTTGATTTTAGGGTATACCTCCCCTTTAAATTTAAATAGACATAGCAACCTGTGTTGGGATTACACCATTCAACAGTTTGCAAGGGTGATGAATTGACCACCACTATTCTTAGCCTGATCTACATTACAAACACGCCTGACTGAAGTGGCTTTTTCTGGCCAGTGAACCCCTATTTTCATTTTTTTCATTTTCATGACACACCACACCACATACTCCAGCATCCACTGGCTGTCGGTAGCCACCCAGGGGAACGAAAGTAGAGCCAGGAGAATGAGAAAGAAAAGAAAGACGTGTGCAACCGTAATCAGCGGGAATTCAACCCGCGATCTCTCAATTGCACATGCATGTACCACTGCACCATATGCCGGGACACCCACACCCATACACGCGTACACGTGCGCGCGCACGCACATGCACACACACACACACACACACCACACACGCACGCACGCACAGGTGTAAACACGCGAAACGGCAGAGGTGTTCTGATAATCAACATTAGCGAGATACAATAGGTATTTTTTTTCTTTCTGGTAGTGAACTAGGCATAGAATGTCACGAAAACCAAATACAGACAGACTCTGTACTACAGAAGGCACTCACTTCATAGCATGACAAGAAAGAACAACAGATTCCAGAATGGAGCCAAATAGAACAGAATTCTCTGTAGTCGGTGCACACGACATCTAGATGGGGATAAGATAAGGAATGTGCGCCGAGTAATATCACTGGCGATAGGGAGATAAAGCATGGGCGCTGGAGAGTGCCGCGTTATCGGTATACCTCAGCACCCAGAGGGAGAAAAGGGACGGGCAGAGAGAGGGACAGATAGAGAGAGAGCCTGTGGCTTGCTACACGTTGTGGACACAGCAGAAGACAAGCGGAGTCAGGAAGCAACGACACACACACGGTCACACGCACCACGGCAATCTCAAGAATAAACGACGAATATAGCACACAGCCGGTCGGCGGAGGGGTGGGGGGGGGGGGGGGGGGTGGGGGGTGGTGTGCTAAGACAAAGACAAAAATGTGCGCAGCTAAAGCTAGCGCAAGAGTTAGCTGACTGCTGTGGTCAGTCCCTGGTGAGAGGAGGTGACCCATCTCAGTGATAGTAGTCTGGATGAACATATTCATGAGGGCGTTGAGGGAGAAGGACACAGGGGTGTAGGGGATGGGGAGGAGGAATGGGGAGCGTATGGGAAAGCGTACGGGTAGGGGAAGGGACGGTCAAGAGTAGGGAGTCATAAACTGCAAACGTCGACACACAACTCTGCACACACACACAACCAGCATTGTCAAAATTACATGACGCTGCCTCTCACTCACTCGCTTATTCACTAACTCACTCGCAAGGGAAAGGGGGGGGGGGGGGAGGGGCTGCTTCATGGCCCATACACTGATGCGCAAGTACAATACAGACCAGATAAGTTACCTGTACACACAACAACAAAACTGCCGCTAGCGATCACGCGGGATTACAAACAAGCAACCACGCACGCACGCACGCACGCACAAACACACACACAACACACACACACACGCACACATACGGGGGAAGATATAGTACCAAGATCGAGGGAGGGGAATGAGGGGGATGGGAGGAGATTGGGACAAAAAGGGGGGGGGGAGAAAATATGGGGACTTATAACTTATGAATATGTAACAGCAGTCTCGCTAGCCGTACGGTCTGCTTCACCAACCAAGCTTATAATTATTTGGATTACATTGGCATCTGGTTTACACGTTGATGCGCTGCAAGAACACCGAGTGAATGATCTCTGCTGTTGGCGCCAAATCAGCGAAGATCGTCAACCATCCGGAGCACGGACCTGGGAGCATCTTCCATGAACTTGGGGATGCCAGGTGGCTGGATAGAGTAGGGGCACCTTGGTGAAGTGTGCCGACTTGCTCGGTGATCGCTGCAGCAGCAGCAAAGTGAGGGCGTGGCACTGGCCAGTTGTATAAAAATCAATGTTATTGATTTTGTCAATGGGGTCTGGTATTATCTATCGATATATTACTTTTCAGTCGTGATATTATTTACCGGTGAGTTTAGTGCCTATACGCCTTAAGCAGGCTGAAGGTGCCATCGATTGGAGGCGAGAGGACAACCGTTCAGGAGTTATTCAATTTGAGGGTAGAAAACTTGATTGGGAAGCAGACTAGCAGGGGGTGACATGTCGAAGAAGGTGTTGAACCCGGAGAAATTCTGCATTCAACACAGCAAGCCAAGACAGCACAGGAACAAAGGCTATGAGGTTATAGAACCGTCTGGTCAAAAACTGCACGCCAGAGCACAGTTCGAAACAATTTCCACGTCTGATGCAATGTTTAGACAGGAGTTCGCTCCCCACACCGGAGCTCGCGCTTTTCCGCCGGCAAGTGTCAAGTCAAGTCGGCAGAAAAGCGCGAGCTCCGGTGTGGGGAGCGATCACCTTTCGTATTTCATGTGTAGAGCACGTGCACGTGCTGGGCACCGATCTTGTAATGTTAAGCCCGGCCAAGTGCACGCGGCAAAACTTCCCAAAAGACTCACAGCGCGTGCTTCGTAGAAAAAGATTATTATTATTACACAGCTTCGCGTAATGGAGATACGGTAGATAAATACAAAGTAAAATCATACCATATTATGTTCCGCCTCTGCGTTTCTTCAGCAAGATGGCAAAAGCACACACACACTAACAATCTGACAAGATGAAAGAAAGCAGATGACATGAAGCTAGTCGCAGACTGCCGCAGGCCTTTGTCCTAGTTATTCGTAGAAAAGATAACGTCGAAAAAATGTCCGCGAGTTGCACACTCTTGTTTATCTACTCTTGGTACAAAATATGAGTGAAGACTCGAGCGAACTTGATAATAACCCAAAATGCACGGTATTTCCAGGGCGTAAATCCCAGTTGAACGCAAAGCGTCACATTCCAGTTTAGGAAGTCTGTGCCCCAACCTGTGCCTTTGAATAAACGCTGGAAAATTATTAAATCCTTGGGGAAAAGCGGGTTATCTTGCATTCTCTGCAATATCATGACAAATCTGAGGCATTTTCAGCGAGATTTTCACCCTCCCCGTAGAGGATATGGCAACCTAGTTTAGCGTAGGAATGCTTTTCACACTATCCTTCGCCACCAGGAACGGAAGAGTCTGTGAAAGACCTGCACTCAAGTGGGTCGCTACAGAGCTGTTATGCTGCTTTCTGTGTAGCAATTTACCGGTACATGTACATGTACTACATGTATACGGTCCATTCGAAAAAGATGGGCTCTGGCGAGCTCTCGTATTGGATGATTTTGGTTATTTATGCTGCACCGCGCCATGAAAAAGGAAAAAAAGGGTCCCAAAAAAAAGACCCTCGACTGGGGTTCGAACCGCGCAATGTACTGTTGAGGCACCTCGACTGGGGTTCGAACTGCACAATGTACTGTTGCAAGTGGAGTGAACGGCCTGGATTTTCACTGTATTCTCAATTCAGTGGTTTCGGGACAAAAACCTGGCCCAAATCCTATAGAGGATACAAAAACCTGGTCCAAATCCTATAGAGGATACAAAAACCTGGCCCAAATCCTATAGAGGATACTAGTATGCAACACACGTCACGTAATACTGTATTCTCAATTCAGTGGTTTCGGGACAAAAACCTGGCCCAAATCCTATAGAGGATACTAGTCTGCAACACACGTCACGTAATATGTTTGCCACTCAAAGATCTTCCCTTATACCGTATTTTTCTATTACCGTAAAGTCGCGGATAAAAGCCGGGTTTGCATACAAGCACATCGCGGATAGAAGCCTGAAAATCAAACGGGTCAAATGATTATAAGCCTGTCGCGCGTAGAAGCCTGGCTTCTATGCAAGCACGGATCGGGTGGGTCAAGAGTGCATGCGTTATGTACGGTGCATAGTAAAACTGCCGCCATACCGGTAGTCAGTGGTAGATCTACGCGTGTCGCGCGTAGAAGCCTGGCTTCTATGCAAGCCCGGATGTGCATAAAAGCCTGGCAAAATATCAGTGGTGCGTATAAGCATGGTTTGCATACAAGCCTGGTTTGCATTAAAGCCTGATGCAGAAAGCGGCTTATGTGCTTATAAGCCCGGCTTTTATCCGCGACTTTACGGTATATAAGCACAGGGTAGAGGAGTGTTCTCTAACACCCTTCTACCCTGTGCTTAAATTAGAGATCGCGCTCATATTGGATACCGTGCCTTTATTTTTTCAACCAATACATCTATACTGGGGCTGAAACGATCATCCATTTCGCCCAATCGATTACTCTTTATCATAACGATCGATTATTCGATTATAATCTTTAGGAGGCCGCACCTGGAATATGTACGTGGAATGGCCAAAAGTGGAAATATGTACAAAATTTGCACAAAAAAAGTGTTATGTATGTAGACCGGACGCGACCTTGACCTTCGAGCTTCATGCTCCAGCTTCGTTGCACTACACAGTCCACTAGGACTGTTTTTCGATTTTGACAGCATGTTACAAGGCGAGTCGCGCGTGCAGTGTGTAGTACTATGTACTACCGGGGGTATAATACTCTGCGCTGCAGGCACTGCGCGTATAAGAAACTAAAAAAAATTAAAAATAAACTGCAAAATAATCGTAATCAGTAATCTAAACGATTGCTCGATCGTTAGAGTTATCAAACGAGAACTCGATTATTCGGTATAATCGTTTCAGCCCTAATCTATACAGAACGAGAAGAAAGACATGCTAGATATCATGCATGCAGCATTGATTTCCACCAAGGCCGTGCTAATAATAGAGACTGTGCTTATAATGTTTCGAAAGGTGCACACAGTGTGCTAGCATTAGAGACTGTGCTAGTAATGGAGACCTATGCTTATAATAGAGAATATACGGTATGCGCCTACAGTACTGTCGGGCGCCGAAGAACGGGGGGGGGGGGGGGGGGTCAGGGCTCTAGCCTGTTCTTATTTTTCGCGAGCCCAGCCTTTTGTGCACCCGCACATGTTGTCCAGGCGTCAGGGGCCCAGCCTCCCTGCCCATCTGACCCGCCACACACAGCAACGGAACTGAACTAAGAGTTCTACATAATTTCTTGACAAGACGGAGACGGACAGACAAGAAGACCGGACACGACGAGATAAACTGGAAACTGAAGAAAAAGACTAACATTCACGGCAGCATATGAGCATGCGCGCAAACAAAACACAACGCATGACAATGACGTAACCGCTACTTGGATCATGTACAAACTATACATGCAACCAAAACCGTCCAACATAGCCAAAAGCAGAACAAAAAACAAACCAAAATAACCGAAAGGACCACAACAAAAACGAGCCATGAAAAGTCTTTCTACCGATACACAACCCAGCCGTTTCGTTCTTATTCGGTGATAGATCGATGTACACGTACGTACGAAAGTACATGTACCGCACCTGCATGTACATGACTTGTACATGACAATACTAGTACATGCATGACAGTTGCGTGGTGACTCACATGCACTGTACGTGCACATGCACTGCACGTGCACATGCACTGTACGTGCACATGCACTGTACGTGCACATGCACTGTACGTGCACATGCACTGTACGTGCACATGCACTGTACTTGCACATGCACTGTACGTGAACTGCATGTGCACTACAGCTAGCACGAGCTGTACTTGCACATGCACTGTACGTGAACTGCATGTGCAAGTACAGCTAGCACGAGCTGTACAACAAACCGTCAAGCGCTTGACTGACACCAGTGCAGTCGGGTTAAATGTTGTGGTAGACTACGACTCCTTGGCTTCCGGATGTATCAGTTTCACCCTGCTGGTGTCACTACAAACTGCACTCCCACTTTATTTCATACCATCTCTCTTGCACATTTACAAATGGCTACATGTAGCACTGCGTACCGGCCCCTGTGTGTTTCACAACTATTATCATTCTGACACCATCATCCCTTATCTAGGCTATCTTGCTCATAGGCATTGTCTTTTGCTTGAACACTAAGTAAATCTATTGCACCGGCAAGCCTTGATTGTTTGTCGTTCGATCTCTAATGGTCGTTTCGAGTTGAAGTTCTGCGTCATCGATCTGTGTTTACAATGCCACCAAAGAAATCGCAGGCAACCTTGTTTGGCTGCGGCTTCACCAGCCATGTGAAGCTTTCGTCAGGAAAGCAAGTTGAGGTGAAGGAACGCGAGGTCGCTGACAAGTCAAGCGTAGCAAAGGTCGGTATGCGTGAATTCCGCTGTGCAAAGTGCCATTTCGTGACCCACCATGCTCCTGCTCTTCAAGTCCATGTTTCCATGAAACATCCTGTGTCTGCTTCTGCGAGTCCTGGAAGACTAGTAATGGACCGTATTTCTGAAAAGGACACAGAGACAACTTCCTTGGAGGAGCGGGATGATCGCTCTCAAGACGATCCTGTGACGGTGACTGTGCACTCGGAGAACGATTCTGCTGGCGACGATGATGAGGAACGTTCAGGTTCGCCGAACGCGAAGCGTGGAAAGGCCAAGCGTACTCGGTACACGCTGTCCTTTAGGAAGGAATGTTTAGACCATCTTGACAAACTGAAGGCATCTGGGCACAAGTGCGTCGTGATGAAGACAGCCGAGTAGTTTGGAATCCCGCGCGTTTGTCTGACAAAATGGTCGAAACCGAAGGCGAGGGCTGATCTATATGCTGCACTCCGGAATGACAACCAGTCTTCATTCAGGAAAGCAAGCTCCAAGAATGCGAAGAAAACTCACCTGAATCCTGGAGGACACACGAAATACTATTTGGCAGAAAACTGAAACTTACCATTTGTACAAGCTACATCGAAGCAAGAGTACATAACCCCCCAGAGTGTGCAACGCCGATCCAGCTCTGTGTAGGGTCTTGGCCGAGCGGAATCGGATCTTCTGATGTCATGCGTACACTTCACACCAGCGCAAGGCCGGTCTCGAGGCAGGGCACCATTGTTTTTGATCCAAGAGTACCCGCGACTCCCCGGGTTCCCCTCAGATGTGTACGGTATTATGACGCAAAGATCTGATTCCGCTCGACCAAGACCCTATGCAGAGCTGGATCAGGCGTTGCACACTCTGGGGGCTTATGTACTCTTGATCGAAGTAAAGGTCGACGCATTTCTGCACGTTGGCTGAAGGTGCAGATGAAAAAGCAGGTCAAGGAGTTGTACACGTGCAGTGAAGCTGAAAGTGCATGTTTCCGGGCATCTAGAGGCTGGTTCACAGCG